AGTTGATCAATTCATAATCAATTCTTCTAAAGCCTGTTGATAAGGAAAAAATATTTCTAGGAGGAGAAGCAGACAAATTCAACCATTCATGAATATGAATCACCTTTTCATACAAAATAGAATAAAGACAACCAGTAGGTAAAGGTGAAGTAGGAAGAATTGCTAACCATAATTTCTTAGCTATAGAAACAATTCTATCAACATATCTCAGTTTAAGTTTAGTTAAAATGTCCTGGAGACATTTCTTTTGCAAAACAGTAAGCGAAACCAGATCTCCATGATGCTTGGAACCTTTTAATAGAGAAAAAAGGTAACATTTCTTCTGTAGAAATTTTAAAATATGCACAAGCCCATTGATTGTACCTAAAAGTTTTTGCCATTGAACCACTTTAAGTTCAGGTAAGATAGGAATGAAAGAAGATTGTAAAACTTTAAACCCTAACTATGAATATGGTTCAGAACATTGTATTTTTTCAGGAAAAACAAACACATCCTGTTTAATAAGAAAGGACAGGCTAAAAGTTACTTTTGCACTTAGGGAATTCTGGCTTTACATAGCACCCATAGTGATGTTGATAGATTATACCTGCCTTGCAGACATAGAGGCAGATGGTTACTTTAAGTCAAACAAGCTGTCAACGAAAAAAAGTATATATTGGCTGATTATGTAAAAGGTAGCCAAGAACAAGCATTGATGCAAGTTAAAAAATGGAACTTACTGCATGTGCAGGGAAACAAAACTTGAATATCAAAAAATGTAATAAAAAATAGTGACAAAGAAAAGCAATACATGGTCATTCCAAAGGTGCTTTCCAAAAGGCATCTGGATGTTCTTGGTTTTTTTTCCTCTTCAAAATGTTTTGCGTCTGAACTGAACTGAAAAACCTTCCTGGATGAGAAGCAAAATGTTTTCAAAAGAAAGAAAACCCCAGTCCAGTTGCCTTTTGGAAAGCATCTTTGGGACAAGCATCACCTGGATGATTGAGAATCTCCCTAGGCATTACATGGGCCATTTTTTCAAACAACAACAACAAACGAGGGGAAAGTAGATAAGGATGAAACTTGGAAATGACTTACAATTGGAAACCAAATGATTTGAGGTGCAGATTGTGCAAAGAAGCAGAAGAAACAGTAGATCATATATTAAGCTGGTGCAAGAGTGTCATAAAAACTGGTTATAAATAATATAACACAGTTGCCAAAATGATGCACTGCAGCATTTATAAAAATTGCAATGTTCCAGTAATGAAAAATTGGTGGGAAAATATAGTTGCAAAAGTAGTTGAAAATGACCAGGTTAAAATATTTCTGAATGCAATTTTTTTGGCTTATATCACATCGAATTTAACTGTGATTGAAAAGAAGAATTGGATAATTATGGATAATCAATGTGGCAATACCAGGGAATAATAGATTATAAGACAAAGTATTGGAGAAGATCATAAAATATCAAGATCTGAAAATTGAACTTGAAAGAATATGGCATAAACCAGCCACTGTGGTCCCAGTGGTTATCCGCTTACTGGGTGCCATACCAAAAAGACCTTGGATGGCACGTAGATAATTTGCACATTGATAAAATTTACATCTGTCAATTACAAAAGTCTACACTGCTTGGATCACACATATACTAATCTGATGCATTATGACATCTTAGCTTCTTGTGAAGAACTTGATGCATATCAAAGCCAATACCAGCTAAAGAAGTGGCAACTGTGATTTCACATTGTTGTGCATTTCATAATTATAATATTACTACCAGACCCTTTATCTTGTATGCACGAAAAACATACAGAACCTGAAATTTTCGTTGAGCTATGGAATGTGTGTTATATGGTGTGAGTTATGGGTAGTAGATGAAAATCCTGACCCTACTCTTGGAAGTTCTGAGGAACTGTATAGGATGGAACAGGTTCAGGGTGAATCTTAGCAAATGGAAATGCTGTTGATGTGGATACCTTGTAGGTTTCAGTTAACACCCTATGTGGGATTTTACCTCTCCTGAAAGAGGAAATCCAGCCATTATTTACAATGTGGTAAAATTTGTTTTTGGACTTGGTTTGGTAGTATATAAATGGTATCAGTATAATATATAATTTATATGCTTGTCTTGGGCTGTAATAAGATACTTACTTTTCTACCAGTTTTCCTCTATCTTGACTTCAATATTAGTATATGCTAAACATTTAGATTTTTTTCTCTAGATCTTAAGTTTTTTTAAAATTAAGAATATTTTGTATTATATTGTATTATTTGTACTATATCTGGGATATTCGAAGGGTAGCATGAAATAAATGTTCAGTTTTTAGCTCTTTTTCTTTTTTTCTAACTCAAAATTCATTTGAGCTCATTAATGAAAGAATTTTTTAAATAAGAAACAGTATATGGCACCAATATATCTTTGAGGATGGTACAAGGTCATTTTAGCCCATTGTGTAACTATTCTATTATATGTAGTTACTTTTAGGAGGAACTAGTGATTCTAAATATCTTGTCCATTTAACTTGTTCAATGAAATCATTAAGTGCTATCTGCATACATTTGGTTCTGTGTGCTTCTCTCCTTTTTTTTTTTTAGTAGGTGCAAGTATTGACAATTTTTAGGCTTCCTTGTTTTCTGTCATTTTATCTGCTGCTATTGAGGAGGAACTTGAAAATCAACACTCCTTAGCAGTTTTCCTTTATTTTCTTGACAATATAATTGATTTTGGCATATTTCTAAAATAGAACACGCTTTTATCCTAATGAGTTAAATGTTTATTTATAATGGAGTGGTAATATATAGTATTACAAAGTAATAAACTTTTCATGAAAGTAGAGAACAGTCTTATTGAGATATTAAGATTCCAAATCAGAATAAATGGTTTTATAATTTTAGAATGATTACATAGTGTAGTAAATAACATATTTCTTTATCTAGAAATATTGAATTTTTAATTTTGTTACATTTTTTTAGCTCTTCTCATTGATGGAGATGAAGCCTCCAATTTCTCGTGCAAAGATGATTCTCATCACTAAAGCTGCCATTAAAGCTATTAAGGTAACTTAATAAAGAATATTTTTTCTATCATAGGCAAAATTGGCTTATCATAGCAAAATATAAGATTTGTAGTATTTTATTATGTTCTTTTATATGTAAAGCAAGAGTTTGTTCATTTTCATTATTTTTCAAACCTTGAATATTTGGATTCATCTTTTTAATATGTATTCTTCATGGTATGTGTAAAGCTCTTTTAAAAATTTAATTTAAATTTAATGTTAAATCTGAACTGATGTTTAAAGAATTCTATAATTCCTAAAAGGTTCCATCTTGCTTTTAATTATAATTGTAGTGCTCTGCAATTTATACCTGTAAAAATGAAATAGTATTTTTCTATATATTTTATGGAATGAAAAAAAACCCAAATAAAATAAATTTAATTTTTCCTTTCAGCTTTACAAACATGTAGTCCAAATTGTAGAGAAGTTTATTAAAAAGGTAAGTGGAATTACGTAACTCAAAATAAGTTGTAAAGACTCAGTAGTTTTCTCCATATTAACATTTTGTCACATATAACATCTGAGAAAGGATATTGAACAGATCATGGAATTATTTTATTTCCTAGGTTTTGTGGAGGCTGGCAGTGTAGAGTGAGGTTAAACCTTTTCCCTTAACAATTCTGATCTGGTTTGAAGTGGAATAGTTTAGTCTACACCCTGTCAGCATTCTGTTTGGGTGGATGGAAAAACTGGTCAAATAAATGCCACTATTCCACCAATAGGAACATTCAGCTTACCTCCAGTCCTGCTTACCATGTAGGATTGTATGTAACCTTTGCAATAGGGAAGGCTTTAAGAAGATCTAATCCCCATTGTTTCTGTTTTTTTGATCTTTAGGTGTGCTTTTAGTGGTTTTTAATAACATTTTAATGACAGTTCATTTTAATATTTTATCCATTTTTCACTTGTTTTTATCATTTGTGAGCTGTCCAGAGTCACCTTGTAGAGGAGATGGGCAGCATAGAAATTTAATAAATAAAATAAATAGACTCTATCCATATCAAGGAAAATAATAGACAAAAGAGGACAAGATATTTGAATAAGAGGTAGAATGTGAAAATACTTGAAATTAAACTGAAAAGTTTAAGAGAGGGACAATTGGTCATGTATGACTTTTGTATTTTGTTTAAAATTCCACCACAGGTGATCCTATAGCAATGATGGCGAACCTTTTTGTAAAGGCATGCTAAAATTGTGCATGTGTGTGCTATTGTGTGTGCACATGTGCCAATACCCACAATTCAATGCACCCCTCCCACCTGCGCATGTGTGCGCAGCCCCCATGCATGTGTATGCGACACTCCGCCCCACGGGGAAGGGAGTTTTCACCCTCCTCAGGCTCTGGAAGCTTTCGTGAAGCCTGGGGAGGGTGAAAATGGCTCCCCCACCAGGCACTTTGGAAGCCAGAAATGGATCCAGCTTCCAGAGGGCGTTTTCACCCTCTCCAGGCTTCAGGAAAGCCTCTGGAGCCTGGGGAGGGCAGAAACGGCCTCCCCCAGCCCTCCAGGAGGCCAAAAATCAACGCTGGAGCTGCTAGCAATGCCAGCAAATATGGCTCCGCGTGCCATCTGTGGCATGTGTGCCATATGTTCGCCATCATGGTCCTATAGTCCCCAAGTTAGAAACTCAGATACAGAATCATAGCCTATTGCAAAGAACTAGTGATGTTGGTTTCTCAGAAAGTAGGTGCATCAAAGCAACACATTGTCCATGGAGAAATGAGACAGCAGGTAGCGAAACAAAAGAGGACACTATAGTTTGGAGAGAGTGACCTAGGCACTAGGAGAAATTACTGGAAATATAGAAACATGATTTTGGGCATCATTTTGAAACCCTTAAATATGCTAGAAGCTCATGCATAAGAAAGGAATATTTTTTGGTCAAACCTGAAATTGTTATCCAAGTTATTCAACAGACTTACATTAATGTTAATATGTTAAACTTCAGTGGTGCATTTAGAAATGGTGATATGTTTTCTTTCTTTAGTGTAAACCTGAATATAAAGTTCCTGGACTGTATGTTATTGACTCCATTGTTCGCCAATCTCGTCATCAATTTGGAACTGACAAGGATGTTTT